AGCGTGCACGTGCACAAGAGAGAGAGAGAGAGAGAGAGAGAGAGAGAGAGAGAGAGAGAGAGAGAGAGAGAGAAGAAAAAGCCACAGTACCATCCTGTGCCTATATGCGTGCGTGAGGGGGGGGTGAGAAGTCCCTGCCTGCTCGCTCGCTTTCCACCAGTTCGTCACACACTCACCATGCAGCAAATGCACAGACATGCCATCAGTCAGACGCATCTGTCACGATTTGTGGACCGCACACATTCGCACACATCGTGCTTTGCTCCCCCTTGGGCCCTTGCCCCATGGATACCATCCAAAAATGAAGAGAAGGAAAAACAAACAATAGACCCACTTTCAGTCCACATTCACTGCAGCCAAAGACAGACTGCGCCAGGAAGCGGGGCTACGCCCCCCTCTCCCTTGCCCAATACATTCGGTGAAAAAAAAAAGGGAAAAAATATAATATTCCCAAAGAGGAAACACTGGTTGCGGATCGCAATAGCACAGCCACGACCTGCACAGCCTTCCGCAGGTCGCCCACTCTTAAGGCTTGTTCAACTACTGGACTTAGACTTGACGGCGACCGGACCGTTTCTGATAAATTTTGAGAGCCGAAAAAGAGCCCGGCAGAGCTTCATTGGAGTCGATGACGACGCGACGTTACTGGAAATGGAAATTTTCACAAAACGACAAAAGTGTCGTTGTATGGCTGATGTCGCCGTTCGCGGATGTCATTCACCATCTCTGGCAATGGTCAGAAGCGGGGCGGCGATTTCTGCAAGAGGACAATCAAACACACAGTCGGAAGAACGTGTAAGTGGCATGTTTTTTTTACATCCAGAAACCAATTGTGAACCATTTCTTGCAACATGCAAAAATGTGTAGCGAGATGTATGGGATTGAACGGAATAGTTTGCGAAGTCACTGCAGCCGTAGCGTTTGGCCCATATTACTGAAAAAAAGTTGTGTCAGGGGGAAAAAGGGAAACAGGTTGTGAAGCATTGGAGCTTTCATGAGAGAGAGAGAGAGAGAGAGAGGTAAAGAGAGAGAGGGTGAGGAACAGAAAAATATCAAATGTAGTGGATGAGATAGAGAGGAAGAACAGGAGAGGAAGGCATGGATCGAGGGGGTGCAGGGAGGAATAAGTGTGTATATGCACCTGTTCAAGTGGCATGTGGTGGACGGTTGGCCGGCAGGGGTTGTGGTTGAGCAGTGGAAGGTCGTGCTGCCGCATTATCATCTTCGACTGTGGGGTTGTCACCGCTGGGAGCTTCGTCGACTTTACGCAGAGACGGTTGAATCGCCCGCATGTTAGCATTTGGGTTGCCATAATATTTGTGACCTGTTGTACGTGTGAATGTGAGAGGTGTGCCAATATCTGGCAGAACATAGCCGTCCTCCACATTGTAGATTGTGCCTCTTCGTAGCAAAGGGAGAAGATCGTTGCGGATGTCGCCATATGTATTTGCCAATGTCCAGTGCGTGTCGTTGACCGCCTCACGCTGGTGCATGTCTGCGATAGTCATATCAAGGACTCTCTTGTCGTTCGACCAACGCCACATGTAATGCACAAAAACCCTTTTTGCATGACAAGAAGAGGCTCCGTTGGCTCGGGGCCGTGTATGAACTCCTCCATTTCCAGGGTTGTGTTGTGCATAACTTGGGGCAGCCGCTGTTTTTTTGTTTCTTGAGCCTCCTTAGATAATTGGATTTGTTCGAGCAGCTTGGGTCTGTTACGCTTAAGGGGCGGGAGCGGGCCGCTGCGCCTAGAAGAAGTATTAGATGATGCCATGATCTGTGGAGAAGACAGAACAATTCGCGAACGTGAATGGGAGCATGATAAGGGGCATACAGGCAATGAAAGCAGACGAAGTTGGCAACCACAAGAACATAATAAACATGCATAACCGTAAGAGGATGGTGGAGAGAAAAAATATGGGGGGCAAGCATGAATGAGACGGATCGTTAGGGACAACGATAAGGAGGAGGCGCGGGGCAGGTGGAATGCGGGAAAGGGAGGATTGCATACAGCGTGCCTGTGACGAGCTCATCATGTATAAAAGAACGGTAGAATGACATATCATATTCATCAAAAGCAAAACGCGGACGCGATAGCGCGGGGGAAAGGATATGCCGTATCATAACAAGGAGAAATACCCCGCAGTCGTATGAATTGGTATGTCGAGGGTCGTCTATAATGCAAGTCTGCATTTGTGTGAGGAAGTCTGTGGAATCGTTACGTGTTCGTAACCAGCATTGGATGTTGGAGAAGAAAGAAGGGTTGGAAATATAGAGACTGTCGGAAAACATGAGGCTATGGTTATGCATGTCAATGTAGCCCAAAACCCAATGATTGTCATTGACATGTACAGGGATGAAAACATGCTGAAAGGCATGTAATGAGCGACCGCTGGCACACGCGGCTAGAATCTGATCAGCAAACCGATAACGACGACGGGCAATTCCATCTGTGTACATAAACGTGTCCACTGCAAGCACGGAGGGGAAGATGTGTGTTAGAAGACGCATGTAATTTGCGATAGGAATATCACTGAGCCAAGATGATGAAGAGTATGGTAGGGACAATGTGAAGAGAGTGAGGATTGAGAAGGCGGACGCCAGTGTTCCAGAGGGGGCTGAGGAACAGCCGAGGACGCGAAGGGTGCAGAGGGTGTTGGCTGTTGCGCGAACAGATGAGGCGGCGAGGCAAAGGCATATTTGCAGGGCGGAGCATCGGTTGTGGAAGGAGGCATGAGAGGAGCAACAATATGAGCATTGTGTATGCCTTGAACAGAATGCAATGTATCATCAGTGCGCAGCTGGGCTGATTGCATACGAAGGTGTGGAAGAGGAGGCTGAGGAACAGCCGAGAACGCGAAGGGTGCACAGGGTGTTGGCTGTTGCGCGGACAGATGAGGCGGCGAGGCAAAGGCATATTTGCAGGGCGGAGCATGGGTTGAGGAAGGAAGCATGAGAGGAGCAACAATATGAGCATTGCGTATGCCTGGAACAGAAGCGACTTTATTGGACAGAGGGTTCATTGCAGATGAAGATGGAGAAGGAGCAGAAGGAGAAGAATGATATGGACGAGAAGCAGGGAACATGAAATCGTTGTGAAGCATAACATGGTCGGACAATGCTTCTAGTCTGACATTTTTTGCCAGCATGCATTTTGTAGGTTTGAAGTATGCAACGAGCTGTTTTGTGAAGGGTTTTCATGTGAAGAGGGCATAGCGGTTAACGACACGTGATACTATGATGTATCCTTGCTGCGGGAGGTTCTGTTTCCATTTTTGGTTCTCCGTACCGGCCTTCCAGTTGGCCACGACGAGCCATGACAGTGTCTCGCCTTGCACTTTATAAGCGGTGGAAGAGATTGCGCTCACGAAAGGAAATTGTTTAGGGCGGAGTGTACAAGTACGTAATGGCATGCCTCGGGTCGTGGGTAGCTGAATCTTGACAGGAGCGAACAGTGTTCTGCGGAAGACGGGGTATATATCTGATGGTAAGTCTGTGGCGAGCGTTGTCAGGAATTGTTCGTAAGGGCTGCGACGACGGACATGAACAAGTGCAATGTCTGGCTGCGCACTGGGAACAAGGGCATGAATATTTGCATTACGATCATGGAATGTAGCGAATGTCGTGTCCGTTGGGAATTGCAGAGAATGAAGAAAGCCGAATGTGTCATTGGCTATACCTCTAGCGGGATCAACATTCTGAGTGAAAACAATTGGCATACTAGGGACGAGATCAAGAAAGGGCGCAAGGTTGTTCAATGCATTATCACGCAAAGATATTATATAATCGATGTCATGCTTGTCTCGCCCCCTTAAAACGTCTCCGAATTCAGCCTGTATCTGTATCGGGCAATGGCCAGGTGGCAGGCGATATGACAAAGCACGTGTGTAATGATGGATGAGATGTGTGTGTGTCTCATTATCCGGTGTGACGAAAATAGGAAAGTGTTTATTTTTTTTTGTGAGGTGGTCTGGTGAGAGGTCGTTCCCGATGTTGTCGATAAGTCTGCTATTTATGATATCTATGAAGGCGTCGGTCCAAACGCCCATCCTCGCAGCTTTGCAATGTTTGCCCCATTCAGGATCGAACAGGAAACAAATATTCTCATCAAGAACGACAACAGTTTAACAACCGCCAGAGGGCGAAGGCTTCATGATCGGACGTCGAATGTGTCAGTTTTGGTGATGGGTCTTTGTATATCGATATGCCTTTAACAGGCTGCAACTGAAACCAATCACCCAGGGGAAGCATGTGTATCCCGCCAAAAGGAATGTCAAGTTTTCGAGCGTGGCAAAGAGCTAGGTCAAGGCGCACATATTGTTCTTTACTCATCATACTGAATTCGTCTATCACTAGCAACGCCAATTCTGGTGTAAACCCGGTAATACCTTTGAACTGTGCGCGTCGCTGCTCGAAAATGTGACTGGATTCAAAGTTGTGCATCCCCAACCAACTATGTAACGTAACACCTCCGATAGCAACGGCGGCTTTTCCTATCATCGATGTTTTAGCAAGGCTTTTAGGGTGTCGCCATGCATTTGCAAAAGCTTGGATGACATCAATCACATGCGATTTGCCCGTGCCGCCTTCCCCTGTTCTGAACATCAGCAATTGATGTGTTTTTATTGTGTCAGACATAATGGCCAAATCGTTACCACACGGTTGGTCGGCGGAAGAAGTGCGTGACAACCACGTGTTCAGCAAAGCCTTTGCCACCAAAGCGAAAGCAACATGTTTTTTTTTGTTCAGCGAGAAGGCTGCACACATTTGAGATAGTGTAGGAAAAGAGCGCAGCAATGGAGAAGGTGCAGACGGGGCTCGTGGGCTGTATACAGAGTTTGTTGGTTGGAGCGCATATGTCATAAGTTTCAACCGTGTCGGGAGAGGAATATCATTCCAAGCGTCACCGGCGGCAGGCGTTTCGGGCGGATGAAGTGGCGATAGTGTTGGCGATTTTTTTGTCCATGCAAAGGCAGCATCGAGATCCGGCATAGTTTGAGCACATAAGGCGGTACCAGGAGACGGGCCAAGGCCTTGCAGGTTTTTGTAAGCATCAATAGCTGAAACGGCAGATGCATCCATAATTCGTTGAGAAGAGTTATCATTCGACATAGGCACTGTCGCTTCAAAATCGATCACGGGTACATATATTTCTTCTCCATTCAAATCGTCTGCCTGCATTTCATCGGCCATTCCGTCGGCAAACGCCGAAATGATCGGGACCTCTTCAGCGTCACAATCGCATGCTGATTCAGATGCAGAATCGTTTTCATCAATTCGGGGGGTGTCGTCTGCCATGCATGCTTTGCGTGCTTCTGCCGCACGCTCACGAGCAATGTGGTAATCTTGCAGTTGTATTGCATGCAAACGATGGCATATTTTCGTAAAACGAAAAAAAAGTTGTTGACCAAGTTTGGCCATCTTGCAATACATCAGATAAAGCACGAAATGGTTTGAATAGCAACAATGCTAATTGGGCAAGCCGGGTTATCGACAAGTCATCTGTACAAAGTCTGTCATCAGGAATACGCATGGAGTAAGGAATCACTGGTATGCACGACTGCATATGTCTACCCAAAGATTTATGCAATCAGAGCGGATGGCCTTCCAGAAACAAGTTGTCTTTGTTGAGTGCATGGCAGAAGTCGGAGCGATAATAGTACATACTAAACTCATACAAAGAAACCGCAGTGAGATGGAGAGGTCTGAACATATAGTCGTCAAGTGGGCGTGTGGGGACAAAACTTTTATTAGACCGTTCTAGCGACCACAACGTGTCGTCATCGTTGCGGAGCTGGCGGAGCATATGGTATAGGGGAAGGACTCTATACGTGTGACTAGTGTAAGCATAGGATTGACGGAGGATATACAACGCACACAAGGGGCCGGCCGTATCTTGCTTGTTGGTGATACTAAAGAGTTGTGATGACAGTCGCCGCCGCGTTATTGTTTCGGCGGAGCGAAGGTCAGATTCTGTCACCATAGCTTCACGTCGTCGGCGTGCATCGAATGCAGCCAACCGAAGCGCAGTCGTACAATCGACATTGTGTTGATCTTTTGTTGTATATTTGCAAGAGTATTGAATTCGCTCAGCTGTTTCTGCACCACCAAAAAGTGGTTGAATATCATGGTTGCACTTATATGTCGAGATAATAACATCATTATATGCATTTACATATTCATTGTCGAGCGCGCGTTGAAGTGCAACCCCAGTGGCAAGGACGGTTGTATGTTCACGATGTTCTTTGGGAAAGCCATAGCGACAGACGTCCTGAGATCGGGTCATGCGGGATGTTTTGAAACAGTATTTTGTATGTGCCCAATGGTAGGTCTGAACAAGATAGGTAAGCGGGAGCAAAGTTTCCTGCAATGAAAGCAATCTTGGCAGCATAGCCAACAACTTCTCGCTGGTTGCATGAGCGTGGAAGGGATCTTGAAGGAGGCGGAGATGTGTGCCACGACATTCGTTCCATCGTGCATGGTCATTATAACCCATAGATGCATGATTGGTAGTCATTGCTCGACGGTAAAAATACTGAGAGCTAAATAATGCTCGGCAATGTGCACAACGTATAGTTGCAGGTTCTGCAAGAGGGAAACAAGTGTCCTTCTGGCGGGGCATACGATAAGTCGACACATGTATGGGATGCGGGACATAGGCAGGAGGCAAGGTATTACATTTCGGGCATGGAGAAGTCAAAATATCATACGGTGTCTGTGTCGTAACAATACTGTCCACGTATTTCGCAACAAGATCACTGAACTGCGGGTCCTCGG